AAAAAAAAAAAAAAAAAACACACTAGTGAATCAGAATGCTATGTCACCAAAAATAAAAATAAAAAATGAAGTAGCATTGTTATATGATTTTGTGTCCCTTCAAGATGGGTCATTTTCTTTAAGTAAATTATTTGAGTTTCTAAGCATTGAATTCATTTTACAAATTTATACAATTTGCATAAGTGACAAACAAAATAAAATCATAAAAAGTATAATAACCATTAATTTACAGTGCACCAAAAAAATAAAAAAAATAAAAAAAAAATAAAATCAATGTAGCAGATAAGCTTCCCAGCAAAAGCAACCAAGCCTTACAAATCTGAGTTTCTGAACCATCAATCTAGATTAATTATCACTAATATATAAAAAAAAAAAAAAACTAAATTGCTGCTAATTACATTCCACAGCTAAGATATCATCTAACTAGACATCATATGTCCTAGAGAAAAATTTCAAATTAACTTATATTACAAACCTGAATGGATTTTTTTACCCAGGTTTCTTGATTCCTAAGTTTTTCACAACATATAAACAGTACAGACACAGAGTTTATAACATTTGCTCTGCATGAAATTCTAAGTCTCACATAGTTATAGTGTCTGCCGATGACGTACGAATAAGGATTTCATTCTCTTCGGCAGTTTGCATTACGGAATAATCGACTCCCGAATCACCTGGAAAGTGTACATGCAGTTAGACAACCAAGCTCGATTACTAAAACGTTACCAACTAAAAATAATTACTATAGTAAAAAAAAAAAGAACGCGTAAAATTGTGACAGAGGACTTACTTCGGATAGAATCAGTCGACAATCGGTCGGGTGACATGCCCGTTTTATTATCTGCATGAGTTCAACTTTAGCGATTACAATCAAAGTTGATGGACTTCTCGAAAAACACCGAGACAAAATTTTAAGATACATTAACTTTTGTTTCGAATAATGGTATGAGTGTCGTAATCTGAATTAAAGACGTACTCATTTTTTTCACTCCACCGAAGTTTCTGTATGTGTAGCCAAAAAAGCTCAAGTCGTTCGGGTTGCGCAGCTGCCAGAAATAGAAGGAACAAGAGAAAAAACGAGTAAGTATTATGATTTTCGAACAATCTTCATTCCATTCATATTATAATTATCAGAATATACAAGTACTTCGAGTCTGGTAAAAATATTTCATTTTCTTTAAGCATTCTTTACTTTGAGCTACTTAGAAATACTAAGATACAATATCTCGAATAGCGTATGAATGTCCATAACAGACCTTTTTCCAGATTCCAGAACTCGATTTCGGAGGAGGTGGATCCACCTGTATTTCGGGCGCAGAAGACAATAGAAAGGTGGTTAATTGAAGCCCAAAATAGCAACTTTACGTCATGCAACACGAAAAAAAAAAATGTCGAATACTATCAAACATTCGAAAATACTTTAATAAGAAGCAGAGGAATCTACTAAAAGCTGTTCAATGAAGATTTAGAGTTAATTAAACTATCTGTCTTAATTTATGTTCTACAATATATTAAAATCGACGTATTGATTATGGATGAACGAAAAGTTAAATTCAGTTATTTGTATTTTCCTTGTTGATAATCCTTCACCAGATTTTTTACAAATGTCAATTTCTCAACTAAACGACAGATTCATCCGTCGTTATTTTTTCTCATGTCATTGTCGTGACATGAGGGCTGAACTCCGAATCGAGTTCTAAGAATTAGGATAAACTGACCAATCATTATTATACTGCTGAGTGCTGATCATAACTACTTTTTCATTTCTTTTCTGTGACATCATCCTCATGAACGAAAAAACCGTGACAAATTGGAGAGTAAATATTTCATACTCGTATTGCAATTTAATGTACACCGTACAAGCAGCCAAAAGAGTTTTGAAGACAAGGAAAGACACGACAAAAAGTAGACGAAAGACAGGTTAAAAATGGTACCTCATCGTACTTCATAAAATTCTGAGTATCGAGTTCCCCTTTGACCTCCGGCTTATAAGCTGCTTCCATCTCGTAAAGCATGCCCCAATCAATATCTTTGAACCACGGATGAGCCTGATGAAAAAAAAAAATATATCAATAAAAACTGCATGCATACGCCTATAGTTCAGCGCGCATAAATTATAAAATAAATACTCTGGCAAGATAAACAGATCAAATAATCAAAAAAACCTTTATTTCGTGTGGCCCGTGAGAACCGAGCCTCGTTTCAGCATCACAAAGCAACCTGCATATCAGGTCCCTAGCTTCAGGGGTTAACCTCGCTTCAGCTGGAAACTTTAAGTGGTTTTTCCAGTGCACAATCTGACATTTATTACACAGTATAATGAACCACATCTACATTTCCTTTAAAGTTCTGTATTCGATAAACTGTTTCATTACAAGATCTTTTAGAAAAAGGAAAAGAAAAAAGGAGTCAAAAGGGGTGAGCACCTTTTTGCACGTTGTTATAGGATCGTCCGAGTAGAATGGAGGATAACCAACGAGCATCTCGAACATAATAGCACCCAGTGACCACCTGCAGGCAGAGCATTTCATAAAAACTGAGCTTTTTCCAAATCCTAATGTAACTTTTTGCCACGAAACTGACCAGTCACATTCGACCCCGTAGCCTTTCTTCAGCAAAACCTCCGGAGCAATGTAATCCGGTGTCCCCACAGTCGAAAATGCCTGCCGTCAATCGAAGCATTTAATAACATTTTATTAAACACCTCAAAAAATAATCACATGTCCAAAATGCAATATTTTTCCATACAATTTTTTTTTTTTTTTTTTCCCTTTTTATACCTGTGTCCTCCTGTTGAACTTCCAGTGCTGGAGCTGCTCGAGTGGGCTCGTCCACTGGGTCCCATCCACCTTATCTGGTACACACCCACCTGAATCCACCGGACTCGTTAAACTATCCTCCGTTATTCTTCCCCTCCCTTTCAGAGGAGTCAAGTCGAGCGGCTTGCATAGTCCGAAATCAGACAACTTCATATGACCATCTCTATCCAGCAAAAGATTGTCCGGCTTAATATCCCTAATAAAGAAAAAAAAAACACTAACCATAACATATATTGGACTAAAGAAACTACTTAATTAATTAATGAGTTAATTAACTAATGAGTAACCTGTGAATGTAATTGTGTTTGTGGAGTGACTCGATGGCTAGGACACTTTGGGCAATGTAAAATCGAGCGACTGTCTCGGTTAGTGTGTCTTCTCGCATGAGAAGAGTCATCATGTCACCACCGGGCAGGTATTCCATGACTAAGTATAAGTACTCTGTGTCCTGAAAAGAGCAGTAGAGTTTGACAATATAGTTGCTAGCAACCTCGGCTAGCAAGTTCCTTTCGGCTTTTACGTGCTCGACCTACATTTACATAGCATGCATGTCAGTTGCCATTATTTTCTTTCTTTTTTTCTTTTTTGGAAAAATTTGTGACTTTTTAATTGAAGTCGGATTGGAAATTCGGAAAGGGCCGACCTGTCCACGACTAAGCATTTCAGCTTTCTTCAACTTCTTCATTGCGTAAATGTCGCCGGTTTTCTTCTCGCGGCATAGTCTGACCTGTCACCAGAGGTTACATTAAACAAAAATGCAAACACTATCTTGGAGGATAACAGAAGGAAAAAAAAAAAAAAAAAGGAAAAACGGAAGTTGAACCTCGCCGAAGGCTCCTCTTCCTATAATGGTCAAAAGCTCGAAATCATCAACCGTAATCTTGTGCCTCTTGAGACGCATGTACTCTGTCTCTCTACGCTCCAATTCCTTGATAAGGTTCGACTGCTCCACCTCAGACACACCCGAATTAGCTAACGCCTTTTCAAGCACTCGACGCCTGAAATTTTGCCAAGATATATGCGTACTTACATCTCATTCATCAATCTACATATCAAACGCAATAAGAATATACTTTTTAAGCCATTTAGCATCAACCATCTTCTTCTTCTTCTTTTCTTTATTTTTCCAAGTTTCAAGATAGTCCATTAATGAGTTTCCTCTGACAATTTAGTACTATACTTCAACAAAATTGACGAATTTGTTACGTAACTGATACCACAGCTGTAAAAGGAACACATTTAGCCCTTTTCTATATGGATTGAAAATATTAAGAGAAAATACACTGATGCTTGAAAGAACCGGAGAAAAGTTGCAAACATTCGCTCCACATTCTGATTCCTATTAAGAAGAATCTCAATTTAAAACAAAATGACATCACATATTACATAGAATTCAATGCCGAGGAAAGTAGTCGACTTGAAGAAATCTTCGAATCGTAATCCATGCCAAGATTACATAAGATAAACTGTTACAGCCAAAAGAGTATAAATTACAACAAAGTTGAATCAAACCAATTAATTACTCACACCACCCCCAAACCTCCTACCAATGTGAACTCATCTTCTCAATTTTCAACACCATGAAATTTGAAAAACAACATGCTCACACCGATTGTAGACAATATAAACTCGAGAGCACGTACCGAAAAATCTAATCTTCAGTGCAGATACATAAAACTTTAAACTTGATTTGCTCATTCATAAAAATTCAATCTTGAGGGCATATACATAAAAATCCAATCTTGAGGGGGCACATACATAAAAATCCAATCTTGAGGGCACATACGTAAAAATCTAATCATGATGGCACAAACACACAAAAAAATGTAATCTTGAGGGCAACCAGACAGTGAAAAATTGGAAAATTGAAGGAAAAGTTCATCAAGTTATGGACATTCCACAACATGCATGCATATATGTATCTGAAAATATAATAAAAAAATAAAAGTTAAAGCACAAACAAATCAAACCTCTCTAAGCGCTCTTGCATGTCCTTCATGTGGCTTCTGTAATGGCTCTCGATGAATTTCTTGGCGGCGGCAACGCGCTCG